GAGAGAGGAGAGAGGAAGGAGACAGAGGAGAGGAGGAAGGAGAGAGAGAGAGAGAGAGAGAGGAGAGAAGAGAGGAGGAAGGGGACAGGAGAGAGAGGAGAGGAGGAAGGGGAGGAGAGAGAGGAGAGGAGGAGAGAGGAAGGAGGAAGGAGACAGAGGAGAGAGAGGAGGAGGAGGAAGGAGACAGAGGAGAGAGAGGAGAGGATAGGAGAAAGAGAAGGATGAGAGAGAGAAGAGAAAGGAGAGAGGAGAGGAGGAGGAGGAGAGAGTCGAGAGGAGAGAGAGGAGAGGAGGGTTGAGAGAGAGAGGAGATTAAGGAGAGGAATGACAGAAAGGTGAAGAGGAAGAGAGGAAGGAGAGAGAGGAGAGGAGGAGAGAGCAGAGGAGAGACAGGAGAGAGAAGGAGAGAGGAATGAGAGGAAAAGGAAGGAGAGAGGAGAGGAAGAGTGAGGAGAGAGAGGAGATGAACGAGGGAGCAGAGAGAGGAGGGGGTAGAGGAAGGAGAAAGGGAAGGAGATGAGGGAGAGAAGAGAGGATGGAGAGAGGAGAGAAGGAGAGGAAGGAGGAGAGAAGCAAGGGTGAGGAGACAGGGGGGAGGGAGAGGAGAGGAGACAAGGGCGAGATGGTTGAGGAGGAAAGGAGAGAGAGAGAGGAAAGGAAGGAGAGAAACACAGGTGAGGAAGGGAGAGGAGAGAAGAAGAGGAGAGAAACAAGGGTGAGAAGAGAGGGGGAAGGGAGAGGAGAGAAGGGAGCGATGGTTGTGGAGGAGAGGTAGAAGAAGAGGGAGAGGAAGGAGAGAGAGGAAGGAGACAGAGGTGGAGAGAAACAAGGGTGGGGGGGAGTAGAGGAGAGAAGGGAGAGGTGGAAGAAGAGGGAGGAGAGAAAGAAACGAGGGCAAGAGGAGGAGAGAAATGAGAAGGGAAGGGAGAGGTGGACGAGGAGGAGACAGGAGAGAGGAAGAGAGGTGGGAGGGGAGGAGGGGAGGGTGAGATGGAGCGGAGGAGAGAAAATAGGGAGAAAAGTACGAGGCGAGAAAGAGATGAGGGTGAGAGATGGAAGAGGAGAGGGGAAGAGAAGAAAAGGAGCAAGGGGAGAAGAAGAGAAGTGGGTGAGGAGGAAGAGGAAGGAGAAGAATGGTGAGGAAAGGAGAGAGAGGAAGAGATGGAGAGACAGAGAAAGACTTTTATTTAAATACATATTATGAAAAAACAAAAAAACAAAACACTTCCCTCATTATAAAACAAACAGATTTTTCCATTGATTCCTTCATGTTTGACTTTTCCTGCTTTGTCCAACATTTAAAACTTCTAATAATTAATTAAAACAAATACAGAAGAACTAAAACTGTAAGAATTTCACTTTCGGAGACAAAGATAAAGAGACATTTGATACGATGTTAGTCAGTGTAATTATGATCTTTGAGAAAATATATGTCAAGTAAATTTAGCTCCAAAATCATGTATGTTTATTTTTCTGTAAAGGTTTTTTTTTTATAAGAGTGAAATCTTTCATTCAACACGATTCTAGCACGTCATTTTAACATATTTCTCTTCACCACAGCCTGTTCTATCACTTCAAAATAAAAGTCTGCTTTATTTCCCAGCCTGTTCTTTCACTTACACTTCAAAATAAAAGTCTACATCATTTCATAGCCTGTTTTATCGCTTCAGAATAAAAGTTGGTATAATTTCACAGCCTGTTCTATCATTTACACTTCAAAATAAAAGTCTGCTTCATTTCACAGCCTGTTCTGTCACTTCAAAATAAAAGTCAGCTTCATTTCACAGCCTGTTCTGTCACTTCAAAATAAAAGTCTGCTTCATTTCACAGCCTGTTTATGATTTCAGAATAAAAGTCGCTTCATTTCACAGCCTGTTCTGTCACTTCAAAATAAAAGTCGGTGTAATTTCACGCCCTATTCTATCACTTACTCTTCAAAATAAAAGTCTGCACTATTTCACAGCCTATTCTGTCACTTCAAAATAAAAGTCTACTGCATTTAACAGCCTGTTCTTTCGCTTACACTTCAAAATAAAAGTCTGCTTTATTTCACAGCCTGTTTTATGATTTCAGAATAAAAGTCTGCATCATTTCACAGCCTATTCTGTCACTTCAAAATAAAGGTCTGCTTAATTTCACAGCCTGATAAAAGTCTGCTCATTTCACACTTCATTCAAATAAAGTCTGCTTCATTTCAGCCTGTTCTGTCTACACTTCAAAATAAAAGTTTGCTTAATTTCACAGCCTGTTCTGTCACTTCAAAATAAAAGTCTGCTTCATTTCACAGCCTGTTCTATCACTTCAAAATAAAAGTCTGCTTCATTTCACAGCCTGTTTTATGATTTCAGAATAAAAGTCTGCATCATTTACCAGCCTGTTCTGTCATGTACACTTCAAAATAAAAGTTTGCTTCATTTCACAGCCTGTTCTGTCACTTACTCTTCAAAATAAAAGCCTGTTTCCTGGTCTGTCACTTAAACTCATTCGTCTTCTTTTTGAATCTTACCCAATTCTTTTTTTTTTTTTTTTACTAAAAGCACATTTGTAAAGGCCGGAGATACTCTGCACTGCAATTAAATGAAAAAATAAAAATGAAACGAAAGATAGATAATGCCATACTGTGGAACATTCTAGCATTTTCATAGAGACAGGCAGGCGGCAGTGTACTATTTTTTATTTATTTTTTAACTATCTGCTAATGAACTTACTGAATTGAACTTAAAAACACTATATTATAAGTTTTCCTCTTCATTTTTGAATCCCTGCTCCCTTTGCTCTCGGTGTTAATCACTCCCCCTTCAGAGCGCTGTCACAACACACATCAGACAGGTATCGCGTCAGGTTTGTGAAGTTGTGGTGCACAGATTTGTATTTTCCTTTTGTTTAGTCTGTGTATCATTTATTCTTATTTCAAAATAAAACCAAAAAATAAGAAAACAAAAACTAAAACAACAACTATTTTCTTCGTTATTTATCTCCAAAACCAAAATGGAAAAACAGATAACGTTTTTTTTTTTTTTTTTTTTTTTCAGTTTTTTCGATTTTGTTTTTAAATGAAACATGGAAAAAAATGGATAACGACCGTTTCGTGTTTACGTCACTTAAACTGCGCTGGCGGACTGAACCAGGACTAAAACTAAACAAGGACTAAACCGTTTTCAGTCCTGGTCTGGTCCCGATCTCGGTCCTAGTCTCAGTTCTGGTCCTGGAAGTGGTCTTAGTCCTGGTCTGGTCCCAGTCTCGGTCCCGATCTCTGTCCCGGTCTCTGTCACAGTCTCAATCACGGTCTGGTCCTGGTCTCGGTCTCGGTCCCGGTCTCGGTCCCGGTTTTGGTCCCAGTCTCGGCCCTGGTCTCTGTCTTGGTCCCGGTCTCAGTCCCGGTCCCGGCCTAAGTCCTGGTCTCAGTCGCGGTCTCGTTCCAGTCTGTTCCCGGACCTGGCTCAGTCCTGGTTCAGACTTGGTCTCAGTCCCAGTCTGGTCTCGGTCTGTTCCCGGTCTCGGTCCCGGGCTCAGACTCTGGCTCGGTCCTGATCCCTGTCCCGGTCCTGGTCCTGATCCCGCTCTCAGTCCAGGTCTAGGTCCCGGTCCTGATCCCGCTCTCAGTCCAGGTCTCGGTCGCGGTTCTGGTCCCGGTCTAAGTCCTGGTCTAAGTCCTGGTCTAAGTCCTGGTCTAAGTCCTGGTCTAAGTCCTGGTCTAAGTCCTGGTCTCAGTCCTGGTTCTGGTCCCGGTCTGGACCTGGTTCAGACCAGCATCACAGTTTAGGTCACGTAAAGGGAAAACGTCCATTGTCCATTTTTTCCATTTTTCGTTTAAACACAAAATCTTTAAACTGAAAAAATGAATCATTATCTGTTTTTCCATTTTGGTTTTGGACACAAACAATGAAGAAAATAGTTTTGTTTTTTCTTTTTTTTCTTTTTTCTTTTATTTTGAAAAGCAAATGAACGAATGACACATAGATTTGGAAGCACGGGTGACGTAATTTTGCGCAGAATCTTACAGCTGACCTTAAAGACGGTTTGAATATGGCTTGTTTTTAATGATGAAAGCTAAAATAAATTAAATAAATACATACATTTTGCCTTATAACCCCTTTTTTAAATAATAATTGCACTATATTCCTTTAATTATTGCATACAACTAATCTAATTTACAGATATAATTCTGTTTTTAAACTCCAAATTACACAAGATCAAAACTACAAATTAAACTGTAACATAAGATTTTAGTTTTTTTACAGTGCAGCCATTCATCATCCGTCTGAATCCGCGTCTTTACTTCCACGAGAGGGCAATGGCACATTCTCAAAGCCGGCCCCGGACCCCGCGCAGTCCGGATCCAGCGCCCGGGTCCGGTCCTGGTCCAGGCGGTGCACGGGGAAAGTCCCTGGTCTGGTTTTCGTGTTGGCGTTCTTGTTCTAAAATGATTTGGACTTTTGTGTTTGTGCTGCGTCCAGGTCCTGGTGAGTGAAGAGTCGGACGGGGAGGGAGTCGTGGCTCACTTCCCAGCTCATGACAAGCCCATATCCTGCATGCAATTCAACCCCAGCGGTAAGACATGCACTGCAAAAAAAAAAAGACCGGACTTAGACGAGGGAAAAGAAGGGTCTGGGTACAGTAAACGTGGTGGAATCAGCTGCACGGATGAGGCTGTTCTGATATTTACTGTTTATTTACATATTTATTTTATTGGAATGCCCCTTGAGACGCGCCGTTTTGTTTTCGAGGGAGTCCAAAAAACACAAAACTTACAGGTTTACGTTACAAAACATAAACACAGATACACAAACTCACTCTGAAGGTGTTTTGTTTTCAGTGGCCTGTGCTCATTCCAAGTCTAATTCATCAGACGGTTTCACTTCGTAGAAACCGTCTGACCTCGCAGCATTAGGATTTGTTTGCTCGAAGGGAGGCGGGTACTTTTTTTTATTTAACCAATCGCTGCTTTTTGGTTGTGACGTTTGAAATGCACCAAATCCTGTAGGAAGAAGGACAATAACCTCTTTCCTCTTTTTTTTGATAAAATTCACCAAACATTCTCTTTGTTCCGGCTTTAAATCCTCGATCTCGGGAATCATTGCCAACACAAAATGTCTGGATCTTCCGGGATTCTTGCAAACCGTCTGTTGTATTCCGATTCCTAGTCCATAGTCGCTGGAGAGAAATTAAACCGAGCGGAGACACTAGGGGGCGCCAGCCTGGATACTCATTGGTGCATGAGCCTAAAATTATTAAAATTCTGATCTGTGAAAGGAGCAAGGATTTTAAAATTTATCTTCTTCCTGTTCCTTTTGTTCATGCAGCAAAGACAAGGCAAAAAATTGTACAAATATGTATTTATATTAATTGTCAGATTTGTTGTTGTTGCTGTTCTCTTTAAATTGATGCCAACAAAATAATACCATGAGCAATAATACAAAAAAAATAAAATAAATAATAATAATAATAATAATAATAATAATAATAAACTAAATAATAATATAATAATGAAAATAATGTTCTTTTCCATATTTACTTCCTCAATACGGGTGAGCTCCTCCCACCCGTGTGACGTCTGTAGCGTGGAGCTTTTGGACCAATCAGAGCGAGCGTTGATAGGGCGGAGCTAGGCCAAGGTCTTACAAAACTAACTTTTAGGCGCTTTGAGGATTTAAAAATGTTAAAAAGTAGGATGTAACGATATCCAAGTCTCACGATACGAACCTCACGGTACGATATTTATTATGATATGGTGGGGGAGGCTCACGATTAGAGATGTAACGATATCCAAATCTCTCTGTACGATATTTTCACGATGTACATCTCACCGTACGATGTTTATTGAAATATTTTTGTGGAGGCAAACAAAAACTGTGAATATGTGATTTTTTTCCTCTTAAAATGCCTTGACGAGACTTGATCAAAGACTTAAAAGTGTTAGAACTGTTATTTCTTCTTGTCGTCTGCACTGAAATGGAGCAAAGGATCATGGTCTATGTAGTTCTCTGTCTTTTTTTTAGCTTTTGCTGCACCATAACTCTTCATTTAAGCAAAGAGACTTGTAATTCGATATATTGTGATGGTCCACGATATTATTGTGAGAACTTGTGACGATACGATATCACGATATTTCTGTTATCGGTACATCATTATTGAAAAGTTTCTGATGTGAAAATAGAAAATAATCCAACAAAATCCGACATTTGTGGAAGTTGTGGATTCTTTCCGTACTCCTGCAACATAACCTGATTTATCCAAAAAAAAAAAAAAAAAAAAGTATACATTATATAACAATGATATAAACAAATAGAAAAATAATAATAGAACAAACTGAAAAATAAAAATAAAAAAGACAAACTAAAAAACATCAACAAGGAGTTTTGAGATATGAAAACAAACCTGATTTAAAAAAATTGAATCTTAAAAATGTTAAAGTTCTTAAGGGTGTGGGTAATCTATACTCTACTTCAACTCCCTCGATACGATATTTTCGCGATACGCATTTCACGGTACGATATTTGTGCTGCAATATTTTGTGTAAGCCAACAAAACAGTGAATATACTACTTTTCTCTCATCATAATCCATATAATTAAGATTTAAAAGTGCTTCGTAACGGTTATTTCATCGTGTAGATTGGACCGAAACAGAGCAAAGGATCATGGTCTATGTAGTTCTACAAGTTTGTTGTTGCTGTTGTTGTTGATGCTGCACCATAACAATAAATTTAACCAAAGAAAATTATAATTCGATATTGTGATGTTCCACGATTTTATTGAGAGACTTTTTGACGATATTTTGATTATTGTTACATCCCAAGTTATGACTGTACTTGCACCGATAACGATACTGGTTTACAATATCGGAACATTTGCTGGGTCGGGTATCGGTTCCATGATATCGATTCAGCCGATATCCTGGTTGGGGCTTTAACTGGTTGGAATAAAACTCTGTACTGATTATTTTAGGCCCAGAAAGTCTGACAATGTTTAAACTTTAATTCATACAAAACTACTGCACCGCTGCGTAAACACTTGATACCTGATAGATGTAATGATTATATTTGTGAATATTTATCGTGGGTAAAATGGGAATGAATTAAGTCTTTTGTGTCCAAACCTTCTCCACAAAACATTTCATTTTCAAATAACCACTACAACATTTGGCTTTCGGACAGTCAAAACAAATCGGGGTTCTTCTGTTGAAAGATTTCGTACATATTAGTTCTTAAATTGTTATCCAGTGGACAAAAGGACGTGAAATGAAATTCATCCTCCGCCACAGATAAATCACACACAGACCCGAGCCTGTCCTCTGGGACTCACTCCTGCACTAGTCAGGAATGATGTTATTTTCTGTACTTTTTATATGTGATTTAGAATCTGCAAAGCCCAGAAAACGATTATTATGATTAAAATACAAGTACAATTCATTTTTATAGTTCACTAGTCATGTCCATTCATCATTGCAGTCCTAGAACGTGTAGAATAATTTTACTATATTTTCTATATTTGTTTTTTTCAATATAAAACGAAAAATAAGAAAATGACAATTTTCTTCATTATTTGTCTCCAAAACCAAAATGAAAAAAAATGGACAACATTTAGATTTACAGTTTTCGATTTTGTGTTTAAATGAAAAATGGAAAAAACAGATAACGGCTGTTTACATGACTTAAACTGTGATGTGACTGAACCAGAACTGGACCAGGACCAGGTCTGAACCAGGTCTGAACCAGGTCTGGGACCGAGCCCGGGACCGAGACCAGGACTTTTGCGCCACATTTGGACTTAGACCAGGACTGAGTTCAGGACCAGGACCAGGACTGAGACCAGGACTGGGACCGGTACCAGACCAGAACTGAGACCGTGACTGAGGCTGGGATCAGACCAGAACCAGACCATGATTGGGACCTGGACTGAGATCGGGACCAGACCAGGGCTGAGACCAGGACTGAGACCAGGACTGAGACCAGGACTGAGACCAGGACTGAGACCAGGACTGAGATTAAGACTGGGACCAGACTAGGACTGAAAATGGTTTAGTTCTGTTTTAGTCCTGATTTATTCATGGTTCAGTCCGTGTGCGGCGCAAAAGTCCTGCATCTCACTTTAAGTCAAGTAAACAGGAAACGGCCGTCATCCGTTTTTTTTTTCCATTTTTCATTTCAACGCAAAATTGAAAACATTAAAAAAAATTTAAAAAAAAAAAGAAGAAGAAAATAGTTGTTTTTTGTTTTCGTATTTCTGGTTTTATTTTGAAAAATGAATGAACGAACAACACACAGATTTTTATATATTGTCCTTAAAAACTTTTTATCATGACAGGCCCATGAATGGAGAATGTTTTTAGTTTATTTAGTTTATTTGACAGGGACCGTGTTCAGGAGCATTAATCAAAGAATCACTGAAGAGATTCTTTGTACCAGACTTTAGCTCATTTCCGTCTATAGTCCCTGAAACAGACAAAATATAGAACACAAAAATATTAAAATTAAACAATGCAATCAATATACAAACAGTTATTTAAAAAAAAAAGTACAATGGCTTCTGCGTTGTTAAAAAATATGTTCATTATTCAGCCCTGAACTTCTTGAAGTCTGTATGTATGTTTATGCTTTTATTTTTATTTTTAAACATGATCGTCCAATCAGATTTGTTTATTTCAGTGACACATGTGAAACAAAAGAGCTCATTGGTCACTTATTATTTTGAACAAAATCATTTCCCTCCCCTCAGATGAACAGAGTTTTGTTCTTCGCTCATTTATTCTGAAGAAATCCTCCATGTTTGTCAGTTCTCTTTGACATTTTTTCCTTTTCATGAGCAGCAATATTTATTTTGATAAAGCTGGTCCTTGATTGGCTGATCCACCTGTCAATCACGTCCATCTGAACTTCGGGAGATCCAGACACACATCTTCATAAAATATTGCAGAAATGTTTATTCTGGATCCTTGGCGAAAAAAAAAAAAAAAAAAAGAGAGAGAGAGATAAATCACAGAAATTATGATGTGGAATTGCCTCTCAGGATCAAACCCAAAACACACAACTCACCACTTCCCAAATTTCCTTGTGATTTTCCCCAAAAACATCTGTCCAAAAATCTCTATAAAGATGCAGACTTGGCAAATACAGAATGTTAGTGAAGTCGGAAAAGCAGACAAACTCACTGGGGTCATTGGTTAAAAGTTAGATCCCGGTTCCCACAGGTGAATATTGTTATTGTGCCTCTGGGCAAGACACTTAACCCTCCGAGTGTTCATCAAAAGTCTGTGTTCACTGGTTTATGAATGTGTTTGTGTTTGTGTGAATGTGTGGGTGGTTCCAAAACATCGTCACAATACTTTTTCGATACTAAGGAATATATTTGATACTCGATACCGATTCCAATACCACAATGATAATAAAAAAATACACTTTCTTTAGACAATAGAATGTGATTTTCAATGTTAAATCCTAGTACTTTCTTTTCTATTCCCATGCGGACTTATATCTGTGTAATTCCTCAGTGGTTCAGGTCTAAACCAAGTCTAAACCAGATCTAAACCAAATTTAAACACAGGTCTACACCA